ACACACACACACACACACACACACACACACACACACTCACCCACGCGCGCACGCACGCACGTACGCACGCACACGCAATGACAACGTTTGTCAGCTAACAGTGCTTCATCTCTCACTCTCTACCTGTCACACTAATTAGCTACTACACGAATGCGGAATCACACACCCAGGGTTCATGCGATGCTGCACCCGTACGCGCTGCACATACGACTCGTTCGTGCTCCTCGGAAGTAAGCTCTCACTGTCCAGTAAACTCAGCAAGCCAGTCCGCTGTAAAGAGAAGGACCTCATGCAAGCGTGACCATGGCAACAGACAGCAGCGGTTAACGACAACAACGAGAATTCGAGTAAAAAAAAATTCCAATATTTTTTGGTTATATTTAATCTTGTTCAATATTGTTAAGTCTTCGTTACGTAATCGTAGCTTATTACCTATATGCTCTTATTTAATAGCATTGTGTAATGCAGTATCGAAGTAAACAACCGATAAATTGTGAAAATATGATGCAAATTCAGGACAAGCCCATGCTGACGCATATAGCTCTGCGGTGAATCACGTTTCCGATTAAATGGACAAATAATTCAGATTCCAGAAAATATCTGACAGAACATCTAAGAAAAAAATTGCAATAGGAACGTTGCAGTTTCTTTACTCAGCATCAATCCGCATATTCCACTCTCAACCCACACAAGCCTCGAACGAAATACCATGTTTTCTGAAATGCTAACTAAACTTCGGCTACCAGATGGCAGCAGCGGCGCAACATCACTGCACGACTAATAAGGTAGAAAATGTACGACTAGCTAGTATATTATTATTTAACATGGATATACTGCTAGAAGGTAGACCACACAAGGTGACTCGATAAGAGGAGTCGGCCGTTATCATATTGAATTATAATCGGATACAGAGATTCGATTATACGCCGGCTGCAGCTTCTGCTGCCTATTCAATCACCAGTTGATATTCATCTTCTTCTGGTATTACAATAATATCGCGAGTGAATAATAATAGATCTATAATAATTAGATTTATATAATAATATTATTAATAATCATTATAATTGGATTTAATAACTACAATTAACGACTAATAAACTAGAAAATGTGCGCCTAGGATATTTTCATTTTTTCATGGATACTTCCAGAAGGCGGACCATACAAGGTGACTCGATCGATAACAGGACTCGGTCGTTATCATAGCTACGACTCGACGTACCTCTGATGATGATTGAATAATTTCATCGGATCTCTATAGTTCACATGCTAATAAAGTTAAAAACAAACTTACACTGACGAAATTTCCAGTGTCTACCTGGAAACACCAGACCTGAGGAAGTCTATCGGAAAGATGGACGAAAATTTCGTCACTGCAAGTTATGTTTAACTTAATTTGGATCTAGCTGAGATAAACTTTACTAGCATGTACCTGTGATGAGATGAGTTCTATGCAGGGCGCGTTGTCGGTGTAGTCGACGTCGATCTCACACTGTATGCCCTCGTCCTTGGCGCACTCCAGCGTGCTCTTAAAGATGTGAGTGTTGTAGAAGTGTTGCATCGTCTCCGCACACAGGTTCGTGCACAGCTGCTCGAAGCCGTTCTCCTGCAAGCAAGCAAGCATCGCACTGCGTCAGACACTGCGTCAGAAACCGCGTCAGACACTGCGTCAGAAACCGCGTCAGACACTGGCGGTCAGAACTGACCTGCCGTCAGAACCTCGCGTCAGGACACATCGCGTCAGACACTGCGTCAGACACTGCGTCAGAAACCGCGTCAGACATTGCGTTAAGCAATGCATCAGTATGGTATTGCGTCAGAAAGACATACCGGCTTATTGCGTCAGGTGGACGGTGACGGAGACAGAGTGCGCGTAGGGTCTGAGACATCGTGAAGCCGCCCGTGACTCACCTGAGACATCTCGAAGCCGCCCGTGACTCACCTGAGACATCTTTCGTGGCTCCCTCGGCCCGTGACCTCACCCTGAGACATCTCCTAATGCCGCCCGCTGTTGACTCACTATGAGACATTTCGTGGCCGCCCGTGACTCACTGAGACTCTCTAAGCCGCCGTGATCACCTGCAGACATCTCGTGGCGCCGTGCACACCACCTGAACCTGTGACTCACCTGAGACATCTCGAAGCCGCCCGTGACCCACCTGAGACCCCGTGACTCACCTGAGACATCTCGAAACGCCGTGAGCCCACTCTGAGACCGAGGACTCACCTCGAGACTTCTTCGAAGCCGAACATGTTCGAAGATCTCGATGAAGCCATTCAGAGCGCAGGGAGCCGTTGCTGCTGCCGGTGTGAGCGCGACGACGGCAGACTCCCGTGCGACGAGCGCGACGTATCTGCAGTGACACCACACGGCTACACGATATTCAATACATGATATCACATACATACATACTCAACATACATGATATTCTATACATACACTACATTGACTATATATCACCACTTTTACTCACAGTACATGATATACACATACACACATACAACATACTAACTGATATATACATACACACATACACCGATAAATTATCACGCACGCACACACGCATTAGACACTACACACATCACATACACATCACACGCACACGCACACGCACACTGCACGCACGTCGCACGCACGGCACACAAACACGCACACACACGCACATCACACACACACACACACATACCAACACACTTTCACACACACGAGCGGTGTCACATCGACGTTCAGCGCGTTATTCTGTTCCCGTTCGTTCGTCAAGAATCTTCCTTGACAAAAGTGTCATATAGTCCTTCAGGGCTATAGGCCGAAATAGTGGCAGACATATTTCTACTCTTTTGGAGAAATGTATAGAAACTATCGGCACGATACGCTCAGCGGAACCCCGTGGACGTCCATTTCTTCGATTGGGACCAACTCTGAAACGCCCCCTGGTGGCCGCCATCTTGAATTTCGACTATGGCCGCCAGGCTGGGACATACTGCTTTGCCGTGATATCTATCAAACGCATCTATGGCAAGATAGAAATGTAATTTTAGTGGCTAACCCCATTTTTAGGAGTCAACGTGAATTCATGTGAAACATTTATTATGAACATCAGGTGTGTCCGCATATTTGTGGATTCCAGATTGCGCGCTATTATATAGCGATAATTGATATAACTTTCGGAACTAAAGAAGATACGAATATGTATGTTTCAGTAGCTAACCCCCCGTTTTTCAGGCGTCAGATGGAATTCAGTAAATACTATTATTATGAACGTCAGATGTCCGCCCATATTAGATTCCAAGATCGCCTCCGCTATGATTAAACATAATGACTGATTAATTTGACGAAACAATAGGCAGATAAGAAATGTAGTTCTCAGTAGTAACCCCCCGTTTTCTAGGGTGTCAAGGAATTTCAGTGGAACTCATTACTTATGAAAGTCAGATGCCCTCCCCGCCCCATATTGGATTCCAAGATGGCTTGCCATACCTACACATGCCCAAACACGTTTTAGTAACACTTCCATTAATAATGTAGGAACTTAAAATGTTGGATGGGCAGACGCTTTTAACCCATGTCAGGACATTGCGGCTTGCAGGCCCACCTTGTGAAGGATTCCTTTGTGCGTCCCACTGTGACTAAAGACCGCCGTGCACACTCAAGGGACCTGCCTGCCAGCTATTGTATCAGTTACAGCTCAGAGGCATGGACCTTCAAATTCTAAACACGATGGAAAAAACGAGTAAAGATTATCAGGGCCAAACCAGCTATGAAATTTCACAGAGTAGTTGGTGTGTCTGAGATGTCAGAAAAGTTACCCGCGAGTTTCATTTTTTTGGAGCAGTGTATAGACTTTGAACTAAACTATCTTCCAGTTTGTAGGTCCCATGCGAGTTGTCAGAATTTTATACCTTTACTTCTGTCCATGCGCAACCGATTTGATACCCTTGGTTCTTTGCTTTAGACCACCCCAAACTATGCCCTGGGTTACCGGTCATGTGCCAAGATATGTCAACCTTATAGAAGAGAGATGCCCAAATGCTCTTTCGTGATGTTCCAAACGTGAAGGTTTTACTCCGCCAACAAGACAGGCCGACACATTCTCTGCCATTTTTTCGCTGGACCATGCACACGAACAGCGTAAATTGCACTAGTTAAGGGTGACGGTTGGGAGCAGTTGGGGCGGTAACTGAAACCCCCTTGTGAGCACTTTAGTTGAGATGGCATTGGTTAGCTCGGACCTTGCAGATAGCAAGACCTAGTTGATAGATGTTCTCAGGGGATGGCTTCGACGACCAGTGGCGTGATCAGCCAATACCTTTCTGATCCGCCACCACGAACAGATAAAAAGCGGCTCATGTGCGAAATTTGTCCAAGATGTACAGTTCACTGGTGGCCAGCAATTGAAGACTGATTGGGCAACCATTCATGGAAAGAGGCATGGGATTTGCTAATCTCTAATTCCATAAGCCATCATTTGCCAGAGAAAGTTGTAAAATTGCCATGCAGGAATGTCCATTCACTGGGGAATCTAAATATGACCGATTTCGTTGGATCGAGCGTCTTAAAATCCAATTCGAATCAATTTCGAGACACCATTCCTTCCGCAACAATCTGGGTCTATGCTTCAGGCAAGCATTGTGCCGTCGAAAGACGCAAGACAGCAGGGAGGTTGGTTGAGCTTAGTAGGAATGACGGGCTCTGCTTTCAGGTTGACATTTTCCAGTCAAACGAGAGATGGTGATATTGATGGAATTCTTCAGGCACTGCAAAACCAAGTCCATCCCTTCCACCGCTCACTCGCACACGGAGAAGTCTAGCTGCGACAACGGTGACAAGCATAAAGCTTTGTGACTGTCTCGAAGGAAATGTGACAATTTATTTAATGCGTCTTTGGTAGTCAATGGCTTAATGTGTCCTTGCACGTCCTGCAGTGTTGTTCACGTTCTGGTGTCCTGGTATCTGGTGGCACCTTCGAAGGATTTACGTCAGGAGGTCTTCTTGCGCCATATTGTGTTGAAGAACTGGAAATGCCAGTCGAATTTGATATCTTGTTGGGGCGTGTTTATGTCCAGACAGTTTCGCAAAAACGCAAGGGAGGTAACGAGGTTTTGGTATCAGCACGTGCGGGTTAATTTCCAGCCACGAGATTCCATGGCAATCTGAGCCGGATATCTTCGAAACAATGACACACAAACAGAGCATTCTGTTCCAATTCCTTGCCCAGAAATGCTGCAGAATCTGGAAAGCTGAAGATTGACAAGGCAATCATAAGGCACGCTGGCGCTGATCCAAGTTGTGGTGCTCGATCCAAAGATGCTGTGAACTTTCAATGCTTTGTCCATTTGCTCACATGAAGAAGCAGACTCTGAGGATTTTCTCGCTCACTGTCTAATGACATGCGCTTTGTCAGGGGACACACAAAGTGATTGATCCGCACTGTTTGACACTGATGTGGTGGTCATAGCTGTTACTAAAATTCTTGGAAATTGGTCTGGCTATGAATTAATGGGTTCCTTCGGAACTGGTAAAGATACTCAGACATAGCCGGCTACACCATGCATAGTCGCATGTATTGGGCCAGAGAAGTCACAGGCAAACTGCTCGAATGTTTCATGCATTTACAGGCTGTCGGTCTACATGTCCTTAGGAGAATACCTGATGCTACAGACGCATTCCAAGCACTGTTGTTCGCAACCTGCTGACCGTACCGAAGACTGTCATGCGACATACTGGAGCGATTCGTTTCTTGTTATTATTGACCGCCACAGTGATGCTTCAAGGCTGCTGGATTACCGTCAAGTCGCTACCGTCTCTCAAGAAGGTCAAGGGAGATAGGAAATACTATTCTCCTACGGCGGCAGCCCTCTATTGCGAACGACACCAAGAGAGCTGCATTTCGCAAGCACGGCCACATATGGGGTCAATCCTTAGTCCACCAACCCAGATGTTCCATTACCTGTGACTGGGGTGGGAAAGCGTGTCGTGATGATATGGCAGGTGATAATGGACTTTATTTCCATGACGCAAGCAGGCTTCGCTAACGTAGCTAATCACTGCATGCCAGTGCAAGGACAGACGCCTGGCGAGGGAAACTGCCAAAATGGTTACAGGGTGGCGAGCCTCGCGTGCACGTCACTATGCACCTGTGACGGACAATGTTATAGAAACTAAACTGTTGAGGTACAAGTGCATCCCACTTTAAACAAGAATTAGAGGGCAGTCACCTCTTTTGTCCTTGTTGTTTGTCGATTGTTGACGGCTGAATTTCCCATAAAAATCTATGGGATTGCTAAATAAAAAGATTTATACTGCATCCAAGTTGCTTCTTGATATGCCGTCATCTTTCAAACATCTGCGCTATGCGGAATTCCCTAAGGAATAAGTTTACATTTATTAATGAATTTGTTGTACATTGATAATGTTATCATACATTATACACTAAAACCGCTTGTTGAATGTGCTAGTAGGAGCATTAGGAATCCAATAGTGGCAGAATCCTGGATGTTCTATAATAATTGATTTCGTTGGATTTCTCGACCCCTGAATCAATTGCGCGGTAGGCACTGGGAATTGCTTCCTATCTGCCTTAGTTTCCAAAGTTTATAGTCAATTACGTTTTCATCACGCCGCGCCACTGGAATCTAATTGGCGGAACTATCTGACACGTTCATAAATAATAGTTCCACTGAATTCCTCTGCCTGAAAACGGGTGGTTCTAGCTTACTGAAACTACATTTTATCTTTCTTTAGTTCTATAGTTATAGTCAATTTATGTATCATAGGCGGGCCATCTTTGGTATTCGTAACTATGGCGGACATTGGACGTTCATCATTAATAAGTTTTCACTGAATTCCCGCTTGAACCTGAAAATCGGGCGGGTTACCTTCTTGTTGCTATGAAGCACAGTTTCTTATCTTGCTTTGTTCCAAGTTTATTAGTTCAATTATGCGTGTTATAGATAGCGGCCATCTTTGGAATTCAGATATGGCGGGACACCTGAGTGTTTCTTTATATATAATGGTTTTCACTGAATCCTTGACCCTTAAAAATGGGGGCGTATTAGCCAGCTAAAATTACGTATTGTCGTATTCTTGCCGTAGCTTTTGAAGATATAGGCAAAAAGTATGTCCAGCCTGGCTGGATATCGAAATTTCAATGATGTGCGGCCACCACGGAGTCTGCTTCCAGAGTTGGTCGGTCCAATTCGAAAAATGACCCCACCTGGCTGGTCCCCTTACGGCTATGCTGCCAAGTTTCATAATCTTCTCCAAAAAGTGAAATTATTTTTTCAACTTAGCCGCTGGCACTAATGAGGAGAGGCGTATATTTATGTCCGTATTTG